TGCAGCTCGTCAGAAATGGCCATATCTTCCCGCAGGTTAAGGCTCACACAGAACCAGGCCAGGCGAGCGACCCTGGACCCGCAGCGGCCGCTCAGCCAGGGCGCTATCTGAGAACAGGGCCGAGAGGCTGTCTGTCTGGGGGGCAAGGCAGACGGAACAGGGGCCCTCAGTGTGCTGGCGGGTCTGACAGGCACATCTCAGAACCCCTTCCCCTGCGGGTCCTGCAGACAGGGTCGGAGCGGTAAGTAAAGAGCCAGCGCCCAGGGCCCTCAGGAAGCCTCTGGAAACTGAGGCACAACATAGCACTGAAGGAGGAAGACTCAGAAGGGCCTCTGACACGGGTTTCTTCCTGTCACTCAGCACCCCTGCCTGGGGGGGGCGCTGTCCGCGAAGGCAGCGATGACACGCTCCGGGACACGCAGGAGCCAAGGCCCGGTGCCCTCCCACCAAAGGATACAGAGCTCGTAGTAGCTCTTGGGCGACAGCATGGAGGTCCGGAGCTCGCCCAGCATGTTGGACGCGTGCTTCAGGGCGTCCATGAGCTTGTTCTTGTCCTGGAGGAGGAGGGACGTGATGAGGAGCGGGCCTGGCACACCTGGACTCGGTTAAGGAACACCTCCGCCCAGTGCTGGGGACACCGCTGACCAGCTCCGTCCCCAGCACCGAGCCCTCTGCGGAGAGCGGTGCAGGGTGCCAGCAGGCGCGGGGCTCAGCGAGCCGACGGCCCAGCAGACCTGCAGCCCAACCCGCCACTGCGGCCCTGGCTCCGGCGACCAGGAAGCGGACACCGAGCTTGTGGGACAGGACGCTGTCCTGGCAATGGCGCCGCCACAGCTTCCAGACCCCGGCTGCCGCTTACCAGGCATCTCTTCATCTGGAAGGACTGCACCTTCACGGCCTGCACAGCCTCATCCAGCAGCTTCTCCTGCTCGTCCTGCGGGGACTGCTGTGTGGTAGGCTGCAAAGCAAGAAGCACTTCCGTGAGTCTCACCCGCACGCTCTTCTCACCGCTCGGTGTTCCTACAGCTTCCCCGGGCCTTCCCCGGGTTTCCAGCAAGGCTGGGCCTCAGGGAACCGCCCAAACCTCCCCTCCCACTCCCGTGTCTGACACTACCAGGCAGAGCGCTGTGCGGGCCCTGGGGTCAGCAGGACACCGAGGAGGAGGAGGAGGAGGAGAAGGAGGAGAAGGAGGAGGAGGGGGAGGAGGAGGAGGAGGACGACGAAGAGGAGGAGGAGGAGGCGGCGGCACTGTGCAGAGATCGCACTCCCTCTCGGGGACTGGCTGAGCGTCCCCTAAAGGCGAGCCTCTTAGGACCGTGAGGCCAGTGTTCGCTGCCCGGTGCTGCCGATACACTCTGACCCCCCAATCGCAGCCATCAGACACCACCGCCTTTTCTGTATCGATGTTTCAGAGCGAGAGGAAGGGAGAGAGAGAAACACCAACATCGGCAGCTGCCTCCTGCAGCCCGTGCTGGGGATCCGGCAGGGCCTCTTGGAGCATGGACCGACGCCAACCCCTGAGCCACTCCAGCCGGCACCCAGCCTGCGCTTGTGAAGGCCCACACTCCGCCCGAACCTCGGAAAGCGTTTCTCTGGCCCCCTTTCCGCCGGCCCTGCGGGCCAGTCTCAGACCAGGGAGTCGTTCATGGAACACTGAACCCCCCTAAGCAACACGCAACGGGGGACGAACGGCGAGAAAGAAACTGGCTGGACTGGCGTGTAGTAGCCAAGACACTCTTCTCAGTCCCTGGCTCATCACTTCAAACCACACCCACAGAGACACGGACAAAATACAGGGCGGAGCCGGAGCGGCTCCAGTTGTTGATATAAAAATAATGTAGTAATTAATAATAACACAAGAGTGTAACCTGTGCTTTGCGCACTCACGGCTGTAAACCTGCCTGTATGTCCAGGCAATCTTTGCCATCAGCAAAAACCTGCTCACCACGTGACTTAGACCGGCCTGTCCAGCAGAATTAGCCCCCTCCTCTCCGTGCTGCACAAACACTGTGTTCACACCTCAATCACACTGCGTCACGTTTTAATTGTAAGTGATGGTCATTTTTACAACCTTGGGACCCAACACTGCCTGACACATAATGGATATTCGTAAATGTCCAACAAGTGAACGGATGAGCTGGTGTTAGAATGTTTAGGATAAATATAGTTAATAAAAAGGTACTAGAGAATCAACAGGTGAACGGACAAACCAGTGACGGTACACGTCAATAACAGAACGTTCTCCAGTCATAGGAAGGAAGGCAGCAGTGACCCTCTCGGGGAGTGAACCCAGAACACTTGTGCTAAGCGAAAGAAGCCAGACACAAAGCCCAGATCTTGCCTGGTTCCGGGTGTGTGAAACATCCAGAACAGGCAGATCACCCCAGAAACAGGCCGCAGTGGCCGCCAGGAGGGAGTGGGGAGTCAGTGGCGGAGGAGTGCCACAGGTCTCCACCAGGTGACGATGTCTGGCAGCTGGACAGAGGTGGGCGGCATGACCCGGTGCTAAAATGCAAGGTTTGTTTTATGTAAACTTCACCTTCATTTAAGAAAGGACTAAAGGAAAGGTGGAAACACTACAGAATCAAGATTAAATTAACATTGGTGATCGGCCCGTTAGCTGGAGACCAAACCAGCAGCACCCTGAGTCTGCACAGGGGTAGGGTGCAGAGAAAAGTGGGGTCATTGTGAGCACAGCAATCACAAAACCCCGCTCCGTCCCACTTCGCTCCTATCAAACGGGCTCACTCGCTGTGATGAGGAATGAAGGAAACGCGCTTCCACGTAAGCACGGCAGAAGTGTCACCGTTACTATTACCCCCGTGGACACAGCCCTCATCTCCGCTCGTCAGTCCGCACCGCCTGTCTGCTGGCCAATCTCTCCACTCCCGCTGCAGAGGGGCCCCGGCCACACAACCAAGCCCCCTGCAGTGACAGCCCGCTCACAAGGTGACGGGACACCGCCATGCTCACGCAAGAGCTGCTGCAAGCGTGACACACCAAAGAGCAACCGGAGGAGGGGGACAGGGGCAGAGAGGAGGGGGACAGGGCAGGGAGGAGGGGGACGGGGGCAGGGAGGAGGGGGGCACGGAATCAGGAGGGGGAACATCACCTGCCCACGCACTGTACGTCCCACTGGACTCCCAGGTCCTTCCCAGCTCCCAGGCAGGCCGCTCCCCGCCACCCACCGGGCACAGCATCCTCGGTCCTCAGTCCTTGGGCTGCCTGCCTCCAGCTCCACCCGCCTCCTCCCCTCCAGACCCCTAAGCCAGTGAGAGGGGCGATTCCAGCGCTGAGCACAGTCCTAATGACAAGGCACAGGGGTGCTGGACGAACTGAACTGGATCCTGAATTCCAGGATGGGAGGAGCCAAAGAGGCCAACGCTGGTTTCCTTCCTTCCTTTCTTTTCATTTTTATGTCTTTATTGATTTGAGAGAGAAGAAGGAGGAGGGAGGAAGAGACAGAAACATCAGTGATGAGACAGAATCATGGATGGGCTGCCTCCTACACGCCCCGCACTGGGGATGGAGCCCGAAACCCGGGCCTGCGCCCTTGACTGAGAATCCAATCGAGAATGGAACCATGACCTCCTGGTTCATAGGTCAAAGCTCAACCACCACTGAGCCATACTGGCTGGCCAGCACTGGTTTTCAAATGCAAACGTGAAGCTCAGAGCAGACTGAGGGCCCTGCCGGAGTCAGAGACAGTGACCAGACCGGCACCTGCATTTTCTCTCCCAGTGAAACCCCCGCGCACAGAACTGAGGGTCTGGCTCCGGCTCCGAGCCCATCGGCCTGACACCCGGAGGGGGTGCATGGCAGGAGAGCCTCCCTGAAGGGCTTCCATTACTGAACACCACGTCCACACTGAAGGCTGCTTTGCGGCCCTCACTGGTGGGAAGGGAAGGCCAGGCCGTGGGGGGGAGGGGGGCAGTCTGTCTGTCCAGGGGGCATGTGAGGCCTCAAAACGGACCCACCGCGGACACACCCTCATGCAGATTCGGTGACACCCCAATAAAATGCAAGTGGCAGCTCGCCTCTGCGGGAACCGGGCACGGGGCACGTTTTGAGGAAGTGCCAGTCCCCCGGCCAGCAGCCGCCGGGCGGGGAGAAACCTGCTCCCGGCGAGGGAGCCCGGATGTGGGCACCGGGGAGGCCGGGAGGCCGGGGAGGCGCCAGGCGCCCGGGGACCACCGCTCCTGGCCGGCGGGCAGCTCGCGTCCTTCCAGGAAACTGGCGTCGGCGAGTCCCTAGAAACCGCTGGAGGCGCCGCGCTCGGGAGGCGCCGAGGCCGGCCAAGGCGGTCCCCCCCGGCGGGTGCTTCCTGCCCGGAGAGGCCGTGGGGCCGCGGACACTGTCAGGGGCGGAGGTGGGACTCCGGGCGGGTCCCGGCGCCCCGGGCCCTCCGCACGCCCCCAGCACCCGGGCTGCGCTCAGGGCAGCGGCCGCGGGCCTCCGCGGACCCCAGTGCCTGCAAGGCCGGGACACCCGGGGAGCGCCCGCCTCGGACCTCGGCCGCGCCGGGAGCCGCCGCCCACCGCGCCTGCGGCCTTCCCCGGCCTGCCCCGCACTCCGCAGGCCACGCCGGGCCGGTCGGAGCCGCGACCCGGCGGCGGGGCCCCAACTCCGCCCGCAGCGCTCCAGGGCGATGGGCGAGCGCCGGAGCGGCGAGGGGGGCGCCCGGCCCGCCGCCCCTCGGCACTCACCATGGCGACGCCCCGGCCCTGCGGCTCTCAGCAGCCTCCGCGCGCCCGGCCCGCCGCGGTCAGGTGACGCCAGCCAGGCCCCGCCCTCTCTAGCCCCGCCTCCGGGCCTGCAGGAGGCCCCTCGATTGGTCCGCTTCTAGGAGCCCAAGTCTCGCGTATCGATTGGCTCTTGCCCCAGCGCACTGGGTTGACGGACCGAGGCGCCAGCCAGTCTGTTCACGGTGTGGGAGAGGGCGGGGCGGAGGGGCGGGGACTCGCTCAGAGCCAGGAAGGAGAAAGCCAGAGGGGAAGGGAGCCTTCCTGGAGTCCGTGAGGAATGGAGCCCGTGAGGAACGGAGGAATGGAAGGAGCGGGAGCCGCTCCGCTTCGGCGCGTGCAATCGGCGTGCGCATGCGCATAAGGAGGGCCACGATTGGTGGGCGGGGGCGGCCTCACGGTCCGTCCCAGCCAATCCGGGCGCAGCAGGAGGGCGGGGCCTGGCCGCCACTGGCGGGCGCGGCGTCCGCGCGCGGGTTTCGTCTCCTCCGAGCGGCGCGCGGGCCCTCCGGTCGGCGCCATGGAGTCGGGGCTGATCCCCCGGTTAGCGCGGCGCCTGGGCGTCTCCGAGCCCGACGTGCTGAGGTGAGTCCGGCCGCGCAGGCCGCAGCGCCCGGGTCCTCGCCAGGCGGGCCGCGCCCCTTCCCGCGGGACCGAGGCCGGCGGCCGTCCCGCTATGGGCCTCCCCCCCGGAGCTGCTGGCTCCCCCGGGCGGGGTGCGGGGTGCGGGGTGCGGGCGGGAGAGCGGGAGGCGGGAACGTCGGTTCTTGGGGTCTGTCTGCAGCGGCGAAGCCGACCGAAGGGCACCGGCAGCAGCTACGCGCGAAACAGAGCGGGGCGCCGCCGGGCCGGGGCCGGGGGAGGGGTCCCGTGCGCCGAGGCCCGGGTGGCAGGAGGGGCCGGAGCGGAGCCACGGCTGTGCCGGAGCCTGGGGGCCGGCAGGGCCGGGTTGGCGGGCCAGCGGCTGCGGCTGCACCATGCACCGTGCACCGCGGACCCGGACGGGAGGAGACCCCTGGGCCTGGGTGCCATCCACTCAGCGCCTCCCGGTGCCGGCGCCTGGACAGAAAAGCAGGTTGTGGGTGCCGCCCACGCCCCCCCCCCTCCCGTCAGCGTCGCTGGGAGCAGACCCAGCCTCTCTGCCCCGGGTGTTGGGGCCTGGGAGCCCAGGCCTGGAGGGAGGGAGGGGTCCGGACGGAGCCGCGGGCCGGCCTGCCCGGCGCTGCACGCTGGTTCCGGGCCGTAAGGGAGACGGGAGGGCCGGTTCGGAGGGATCGGAGGGCTGGCTTTTGCCTGCAGGCGGTGCTGTGCACGGTGATGTCTGAGCCGGAGCCCCGCGGCCTCCCCCAGCGATGGCCGTCCAGGCCCCACGCAGCACTGGTCGGCAAACTCATCCGTCCACAGAGCCAAACATCAACAGGACGATGATTGACATTTCTTTGGAGAGCCACGTGTGTTTTTTTTAAATATATATTTTATTGATTTTTTTACAGAGAAGAAGGGAGAAGGATAGCGAGTTAGACACCCTACTGGGGATGTGCCTGTAACCACAGTGCATGCCCCTGACCAGAATCAAACCCGGGAGGGACCCTTTAGTCAGCAGGCTGATGCTCTATCCACTGAGCCAAACTGGTCTCGGCAAGAGAGAGGGACACATTTTTTAAACTTAAACTTCTAACGCCACTTCTTCAACATAGACTCGCCCAGGCCGTGGTGTTTTGTGGAAGAGCCGCACTCCAGGGGCCAGGGAGCCGCAGGTGGCTCACGGGCCTAGGGCTCAGGCCCAGGCCCAGGCCCAGGCCAGCCGGGCCCGCATGGTCTGGGTGTGGGACAGACGCCGGAGGGAGCCTCAGGGTTTGCTCATCCCCAGGAAGGCGGAGGAATTGCTGCGGCTGTCCCGGGTGAGGTGCGGTGGCCTGTCTGCATGCACCTCCGAGACCAGCAGCGCCGTCATGTGCCTGGACCTGGCGGCCGCCTGCCGGAGCTGCCCCTTGGACAGGGTAAGCGGGGCTGAGGCCGAACTGTCCTCATCTCCCCTTCTGGGGGGCCCATCAGAGCTCCCGTGTGAGGTTTTCCTGGCTGTTCGAGATGGACTTTAAAACCATTTTATCAAGCTGGAGGGGGGGGATTTTCCCCCCAACGTTCTCTATCGCCTGATTTCCCCGGCCCGCCTTCCTCCGTGCGAGGCCCCTCCCCGCTGTGGCTAGCGTCCTCCCCGCGCTCCTTCCATGGCCCCCGGCGTGTCCTTCCTCCGGGACCACAGTGGTCGGGGCACAGGCCGGGAATCGGGGAGTCGGGCTGAGACCAGATCTCGGCCCCACCTGGTTCTAGCTCCGGGAGCCTCAGTCTCCTCACCCGTGAAGTGGGGGTAAGGTAAGGTGACCAGACATCCAGCTTTTGGCGGGACAGTCCCGATTTTTAACCATTTGTCCCGTGTCCCGCGGCGTTTTAAAAAAGCCCCGATGTTTGGAAGGATTAACTTGGAGAGACACCTCCTGGTCCCGGTGACTTGCACACGAGCAGCTTTGTTGAAAAAGGGACGGCGGTACCTGCACCTCTCGGTTCCTGCCGCTCGCTGTACTGTGTGTGGAGGCACCCCACTCGGCTGTCCTGGCACAGCCCCTCGTGTGCAGGACTTAGGTCTGTGCGTCTTCCCTTCCGAAGGCTTACGTCGCCCAACTGGCCGGCCTGAACCAGAAGGCGTACCAGAGCCGCCTCAAGTCGTTCGAGTGTCTGCTGGGCCTGAACTCGAGTGTGGGGATACAGGACCTGGCCGTCCAGTTCGGCTGCACGGAGGCCGCGGCCCTGGCCGCGCAGACGCTGCAGAGGTACGAGCGTGAGGCCCGGGCCTGGGGCTGATGCCGGTCCGTAAGCAGCGTGAGTGACGCAGGGGTCTGCCCACGGGCCTCTCGCTGGACGCTCAGGTGCCAGAGAGCGTGGCGCACACATTTAAAGGGCCTTTACGTCTGACGGGCAATACTGCTCCTCACGGGGATCCTGCACGCTGCTCTCCCTCCCTCAGCTACGAGGCCAGCCTTCCACAGACGCAGCAGGCGGACCTCGACCTGTCCAGGCCGCTGTTCACCGCCGCCGCGCTGCTCACGGCCTGCAAGTGAGTGGGGCTCGGGTTTAACCTGCGAACCGGGAGGTCACGGTTCCATTCCCAGTCAGAGAAATCAATAAAAAATATATATTTGTCGTTTTAAAACGTCTTAAACCAAACAACTGTGGTTCTGCAAAACAATAATTTACCGAATTCCTTTGTAGGATTTTAAAGCTGAAGGTGGATAAAAACAAGATGGTAGCCACGTCGGGCGTGAAGAAGGCCATCTTTGACCGGCTGTGTAAGCAGCTGGAGAAGGTTGGGCGGCAGCTGGACCGTGAGTACCAGTTCCGGGGCTCAGAGCGTGTCCCGTGAAAACGTAAGCCTGCCGGTCGAAGGCCAGGATTTTCAAACTTGCGGAGCGGCTGCTTCTGAATTCTGTGTTGACGGCACCTGATACGTTTCCGCGAGGGAGTGTCTTATTCTGTCGTTCACTGAAGTGGCTTCAGGAGTGTTTAAAAGCCCGTGGCTCTGAGCCCACCTGGAAGTGGCTCTGCGCGGGCTTCCTGTTGGCGGCGGCCTCGCACGCTCCAGCCAGCAGAGCAGGGCTCTCGGGTCTGCCGAGAAGCCGAGAAGAGACCAGGGCGAGCTCGCTGCCTCCTCCCTGCTCCTGGTCGCTGACCAGTTGAGGAATCTGGTTTTTATTTGTCGCCCAAAAAGTGCCCAGACCTGGCCAGTGTTGCTCAGTGGTTGAGCATCGACCTATGAAGCAGGAGGTCTCAGGTTCAATTCCCAGTCAGGGCACAGGCCAGGTTTGCAAGCTGCATTCCCCAGTAAGGGGGCAGCCGATCCATGATTCTCTCTCACCATTGATGCTTCTCTCTCTCCCACTTCCTTCCTCTCCGAAATCAATAAAAACGTGTAAAAAAAAGTTGGTTTTAACATGCCTAAATACTAACGCTGAGCATAGAAGAAAAATTAACCCGATGACACTTACCGTTTCTGAAAGGAGAGCCTCGAGATGCCGGGTCCCCACCCTGGAAGAAACGGAAGGCCACGGACGAGGCTCTGGGAGCCGGTAAGGCGCACTGACTCCACGGACGGGTCTGTGCAGCGAGCGCCATGCCCGCTGCTGTTCCCGCCCTGACGGGCACCGGGTCCGAGGCACAGCTGCTGCCCATGCGTGGCCTCTGGCCGGGCCTTGCCGCCGCCTGACTGCGGTTTAGGGGTGTCCTTCCTGTCTGAGCGCCTGGCATTGCCCTGCGGGTGAAGGCGGCGGCTTCGGTGCTGGAGGCACAGGGTAGTGCGAGGCGAGTGCCCCTGCTGTCAGCGTAAGAGTAGGAATTAGGTGTGTTAGCGCTGCCTCCGCTTGCATTTCAGTCAGCGTCAAGTGCCAGTGAGGGTCCGGTTCCCTGTGACCCTAACGGGGGGCACGTGAAAGAGGCTTCTCTCTTAGGGCATTTGTACACTGAGGCTGACACACGGTGACTTGTCTCGCAGAAACAGAGGAGGTGGAAGAGGGCCCACCCAAACCGCCCAGCAGTGAAGACCCGGCGCTGGATTACGAGGAGTGGAAAAGGAAGATTCTGGAAAACGCTGCCAGAGCACAGGCGGCTGCGGCCGAGTGAGTTCCTCCTGCTGCTCGCTTTTATGGCAAGGACCCTCCGGCCCGCCTCAGCAGGGCAGCAGCGGCCCCCGCCTGGGCAGCAGCTGCCCCTGGCCTGGGCTGCACGCGCGCCAGATCAGCCCCGGCCCCGCTGGCACGGCCCGGCTCCCCATGCAGGGACCGGAGCCGCTGCTCCGTCTCCTCCGGCCTGTAACACTCAGGCCGATGGTTACAGGTTTCACTTCAGTTTTTGTCTTGTTTCTTGGATTGATTAAATCAATGTATGTACAGCCAAGTTAATAAATACCGCTTTTATGTGGGTCCATGCTGCCTTCCTCATGAGGGGCCCTTGCTGTCCACTAGCAGGAAAGCAGCCGGGGAAGCGGCGCCCCCGGTCAGCACCCGGCGCTCACCGCCCCGTGAAGCCGGGAGCAGACGGTCTGCTCACAGGAGGAGCTGAAGCACCCAGCACGCTGCTGAGGGAGCAGTGAGGACAATGTAGAGGAGCACCGCTCCCCTAGCGCAGTCCACAGCCCCTCCCTGAGAGCCAACGGGCCAGGTTCACTTCCTGCCATCACACTGAACAGCGTGATCTGTTAGACACCCTTTCTCCAAACCACAGGGGAAAGGCCTTTCTGAGGGGAGGCTGGTTGCTGTGGCTCAGTGATCACACCAGACACGATTTTAACTAAAATTAAGACCTGGCGGGGCTCAGTGATTGAGCGGCGACCTATGAACCAGGAGGTCACGGTTCAATTCCCGGTCAGGGCCCATCCTCAGGTTGTGGGTTTGATGCCCAGTACAGGAGGCAGCCAAAAAATGTCTTTTTAAAATATATTTACTGATTTCAGAGAGGAAGGGAGTGAGAGATATAAAAACGTCAGTAATGAGAAGCATGGGTCGGCTGCCTCCTGCACACCCCCTTATGGGGATTGAGCCTGAAACCCAAGCATGTGCCCTTGACCGATATCAAACCAAGACCCTTCGGTCCACAGGTGGACACACTATCCACTGAGCCAAACGGGCCAGGGCAGATAAATGATTCTCTTCATTGATGTTTCTCTCCCTTCTCTGATATCAGTAAATCTTTAGCACGTGGTAATCATTTTGATTATGTGGATTCCAGGAAGTATCGGGTCTAATAATAATTAATGTCGTTTTTAAACATTCGTTTAAAATCTTGCTTGGCGTTGACTTGTATCGACATAACCTTCAAACACGTGGTATCTACAGAACGTGTGAAGTGCAATTAACAAGTTTTGCTTGAAAAAGTTTGTGTTTGGTTTGGTTTGGTTTTTGTTGCAAAACTAGGGCTAAGAAGAAGGCGGATGAAGAGCATATTCGGCACTGCATGCTTTACGAGTTCCAATTAGGAAGAAAAGCAAGTGAGGCTGCAAAAAACATCTGTAGTGCTCTTGGTCAAGATGCATTAGCGCCAGAAAATGCCAGCGTTGGTTTGAGAAATTTCGCGAGGGAAATTTTTCGTTAGATGACAAGAGTGGTTGAGGCCGTGTGTCCAATTTTGATCAAGAAGCTCTTCAAGCTCTTTTGGTGCAAAATCCTCAAATTACCCAACAAGAGCTTGCGACAACTTTAAATTGTTCACAAAAAACAATTCCCAATCAATTGCGTCCACTTGGCAAAGTCCAAAAGTTTGGAAAATGGGTTCCTCATGAGTTGACCGACAACAGCCGTAATCAAAGAGTCACAATTTGCAGTTCGCTCCTCTCTCGTCAAAACTGTTTGCCGTTTTTAGAGCAAATTGTTACCGGAGATGAAGAATGGGTGCTGTATGTTAATTTGAAAAGGCAGCCTCAATGGTTGGACAAAAATGAGGCTCCGCAGCCCATGCCAAAACCTGACTTGCATGCGAAAAAAGTGATGTTGTGTGTTTGGTGGAATTTTAAAGGAATTCTTCATTATGAACTTTTACCATCTAACCAAACCATTACAAGTGCAGTGTATAGTGCCCAATTGGAAAGGGTAGCCCAAGCTTTAAGAGAAAAAGAACCTGCGCTGATTAATCGGAAGGGCGTAATTCTTCACCACGATAACGCACGACCGCATACTGCAAGAATCACTGCTGAAAAACTGCGCCAGTTGGAATGGGAAGTTCTCCCTCAACCTGCATATTCTCCTGATATTGCCCCTTCCGATTACCATTTGTTTCGTTCTTTGCAAAACTTTCTTCTTGGAAAAAAATTTAATAATGAAGAATGCCTCAAAAAATGCATTGACCGAATTTTTTGCATCAAAATCACAAGAATTTTACAACAGAGGGATTAAAATGCTTCCTGAGCGTTGGGCACAAGTAGTAGAAAACAACGGCAACTATATTGTTGATTAAATTTTGTTGTATTGTTTAAATAAATTCGATTTTAAAAAGTATTAGAAAACGACATTAATTATTACTAGACCAAATACTTGGTTCCGTCTTAAATTTGCACCTTGTCCAGGTGCCTCCTAGGCAGGATTCTTCCTGTTGAGACCTCTCCCGGCACGCTCCCAGGCGGGAAGCGTACACGCACTCCGTCCGCCCCCTTCTGTGTTAGAGCCTTTCGGAAGCTCAGCTCTCACAGCTGCTCCTGGTTTAACTGATTTTCTAAAACTTGCTCATGACAGTTTTCAAAGATCTAAGCAGTGAAGAGGACAGTGACAAGCACCCACGAACTGGTCACCCCGACGCAACTCTGAACCTGCCTGTTACCGACACACCTTTTCCCCAAGTCCCTCACCTGCAGCATCGCCCGCCCCGCAGCCCCCACGCTCTCAGCAGATCCGCCATTTAGAATCCCATTTCCCCGATGTCTCCAGTACCTTCTTATTTGCTCCAATCGGGGTCAAAACAAGGCCCACACTTGGCAAAGGGGTTGCTAATGTTTAATAAAAGCAGCACATGCTCCTTGTTTAAAAAATGAAACTATAAAGAGTGGGATTCCCCTCCCCCCATCACCCACGCTCCACACCTGCTGTTGGGTTTCTTACATAGCACGGACACGCGTGTCTCAGCGTGGGAGGGCCGTCCACACATGTAACAGCCGCAGGGCGTTCCCTCGTGGACGTGGAAATTTTGGTTACTAAACCCGAACCGATAGGCACCTGGGAGTGGTTTTCCTCGGGCCACCAGCGAACGTTAGAATGAACAACTGGCATGAATCTCTGTCCACGGGGCCAGGGTTTGCTGAGGGAGACATTTCTGGAAGCAGAATCCCCCGTGAACGTGGGGGCAGGACTGATTTGGGCGCACATCCATCCAGTGTGGGAGAACACGCCTCCCGCGCCCCTCGGCGGCTGGGCCCAGTGGCTCCTCCCGCCTTCGAGCTGCTCGGCCAGCGGTTCCCAGCGGCTTCGCTCAAACGGAAAAGTCCCTGGGAAACGGCTGGTACGGGCACGGGTGTGATCTAAAGCGAAGCGCACACCCCAGCCAAGCAGAGGGTTTAAAATAATCCGAGCTTTAACAGAAGTAACCCAGGAACATTGAAGCTTCAGGAAGGCTTTGGAGCATCAGGTAAGGGAGGCGCCAGCCCCCCCTCACTGGTGCGAACTGATCCTCTCGGGGAAAGATAGCAGCCCAGCCCCTGGGCTCAGAGGTTGAGCCACAACTCCCGAACCAAGAGGTCACGGGTTTGATTCCCGGTCAGAGCACAGGCCTGGGCTGCAGGCTCGATTCCCCACGAGGGGGCGTGCAGGAGGCAGCAGATGAATGTTTTTATCTGTATTCCTCCCCCTCTCTCAAATCAATAATATATTAAAAAAAAAAAAAAAAAAAAACAGCATATGGGAAAAAATAAAATTTAGTAGATAAAAGATTTTCTATCTGACCTGATACAGAAGCCACTGATTCCACGTGACTAGTAAGCACTTAAAATTAGCTAGTACAACTACAGAAAACTTAGTTTTTTTTAATTAAATGTCACCCTGGATACTTATTGTAATTCCGTGAGGAGGCAGTGTGTAAGATGTCACACAGCTCACGTCTGTTTCCGCAGTGAGTTTTATGAGATTTGAACACAAGCCCAGCCCGGATCGGAAATGTGTGTAAGGGTGGCCCATGCATCGATTGCGGAGTCTTCGCAGGAAAAATAAACACGAAGGGCCTCGGCAATCACGTTTGTGTGGACTACAGACGAAGAAACGCTTTGGGTGTGTTGTGTCCGATAAATCACTAAACTCCTTTCCCGGGTTTCCCTCTGAGAGGAGCTGTTAGAACTGTCTCCGTTAAGGATGTGGCTCGTGTTCAAGTTCCGGGAGGCTCTGCTGCTGTAGATCCAGGGAACGCAGTGTGTTTTCTGGGACAAGATGCGCAGCATCGCCAAGCAGCTGATGGCCGAGGGGCTGGAGGACCGGGACCCCGGAGTGCTGAAAGGTGTGCTCTCGCGCGCCCTCTGCAGGCTGCACTCGGAACAACGTTCCCAGAGGTACCTGCTGCATTGAAATCCAACACTTTACCAGGCCCCCCCCCCTTTATTTTTTTAATATATTTTATTGATTTTATACAGAGAGGAAGGGAGAGGGATAGAGAGTTAGAAACATGGATGAGAGAGAAACATCAATCAGCTGCCTCCTGCACACCACCCACTGGGGATGTGCCCGCAACCAAGGCACATGCCCTTGACCGGGATGGAACCCGGAACCCTTCAGCCTGAGGGCTGACGCTCCATCCCCTGAGCCAGACTGACGAGGGCCAGCCATTTGATGTTACTCTCCATTCCACTCCCTCCCTCTCTCTCTGAGATCAGTAAAGATACACAAATGCGTTCTCAGTGTATTTCCAAACTCAAAGGCTGTCAGAGGGGCACGCTTCCTTCTCAAAAGGGAGCGCAGGTAGAACGTCAGAGGATCCTTTTTTTTTTTTTTTTAAATATATTGATTTTTACAGAGAGGAAGGGAGAGGGAGAGAGTTAGAAACATCAATGAGAAACATCCATCAGCTGCCTCCTGCACGCCCCCTACTGGGGATGTGCCAGCAACCAAGGTACATGCCCCTGACCGGAATCGAACCCAAGACCCCTCAGTCCCAAGGCCAACGCTCTATCCACTGAGCCACACCAGTTTCGGCTGTTAGAGGATCCGACGTGGCTGCACACAGCGAGGGCCGGACGGTCAGTACAACGTGGCCCAGCCCCAGGGAACCGTAGCGGCAGGCCTTTCCGGGCCGAGGGAGACCGCTGACCGCCGGCCGCTGTGCGGGTCCGAGTCCCGGAATCCGGCCGAGCTCCGCAGTCCGTCCCCCTCCTCCCCCCTCCGTGCACGCCGCCCTCCTGCCACGGACGGCATGCCACACGGGCCCCGACGCAGGTGCACCTGACGGGCAGACACAGCCTTCACACCAGCCGCTCCGACGGCGGCCACAGTCCTGCCCACGGAAGGGCCGCCAGAGCCTCCTGGCACAGTTCTCGGCGTCCGTCTGAGCCAGAGGCCGGGTATCTCACGGCCACGGCTCCGTCAGGCCGGGATCAGGGGCAGGGCGGCCGGGCCGGGATCAGGGGCAGGGCGTCTGGGCCGGGCCCAGGGGCAGGGCGTCCGGGCCGGGATCAGGGACAGGGTGTCCGGCCAGGATCAGGGACAGGGCGTCCGGCCGGGATCAGGGGCCGGGATCAGGGGCAGGGCGTCCGGGCCGGGCCCAGGGCCAGGGGCAGGGCATCCGGCCGGGATTAGGGGCAGGGCTTCCGGCCGGGATCAGGGGCAGGGCGTCCGGGCTGGGATCAGGGGCAGGTGGGGAACTTCCTGAGCCTGTTGGCCGCCGTCACCACATGGAAGTGTTTCTGGAGACGAGGAGAGAGAGGAGAGAGGAGAGAAGCGGATCTTTAGGCTCGCTGTTTTCCTTAAACAACGAAAGGACAAGTGAGGCTCTTTAAACTGATCACCGAAAACCATGGTCGGCAAACTGCGGCTGGAGAGCCACATGTGGCTCTCTAGAGAAGTGGCGCTAGAAGAAGTTGAAGTTTAAACCATGTGGCTCTCCAAAGACATTTCAGTCGTTGTGCTGTTGGTATTTGGCTCTGAGGACTAATGAGTTTGCCGACCGCTGGCCTAAACCAGGATTCTAGCTGACATAGGACGGTCACGTGACTCTCGGGGCCAACTGGAGCAGGAGGAAGTGGGACCAGGAGCTGTCCCCAGCGCGGAGCCCACGGGGGTCCTGAAACCGAGTCGGCTGGGAAGCCAACAGGACCTTTCACTTCAGGGTGAGGCCAGGACTGCTGGCTCCTTCCCGGGCGAACGCGCTTTCTCTGTCTTTGCTTATTTGTTTGTTTCTTGTTTTGTTTTTTTAAGATATTTTTATTGATTTCGGAGAGGAAGGGAGGGGGAAAGAGAGGTAGAAACGTGAATGATGAGAATCAGGGTCCCGGGTTCGATTCCGGTCAAGGGCATGTACCTTGGTTGTGGGCACATCCCCAGTGGGGGGCGTGCAGGAGGCAGCTGGTCGATGTTTCTCTCTCATCGATGTTTCTGGCTCTCTACCCCTACCCTTTCCTCTCTGTAAGAAAATCAATAAGATATATTTAAGTAATAAAATAATTTTTAAAAAGCGGCGGCGGACAGGCACCTTCCACTTGCGCTGAGCCAGGTACTTCTGCAGCAGGAGCTGGGACCGGAGGCGCAGCTGGGCCCGGGACGCCTTGGCGGGCAGGTCGCTCAGCCACGCGTGCTTCAGGCACTGGGTGGCGCTCATCCTGCAGCTGGGAGCAAACAGCGGCCGGCGGTCAGCGGTCAGCGGTCAGCGGGGGCTGTCCGTCAGGAGGCCTCACGCACATGCGCCCCGGGCCACCACGTACCTCTTCTCCTTGACCAGCAGCTGGGACACGAAGTCCTTGGCGTCCTCCGACAGCCCCTCGAAGGACTCTGCCTCGAAGTCCCAGCAGCAGTTCACAATGAAGTTCATGGTCTCGGCGTCCGTCTCCCCGAGGAACGGGGACAGGCCGCTGAGCCTGCGGTGGGAGGGACTGTGGGCCACGGAGGCCACGGCAGCCACGTCCTGCCAGGTCCTCTCCCCCACACTCACAGCATGTGGTCCACAGAGGCCACGGCGGCCACAGGGCGGACAGTCCTGCCAGGTCTTCCCTCTCCTCCCTCCCCACACTCACAGCATGTGGGCCACGGTGGCCACGGCAGCCACGGGACGGATGGTCCTCGAGGTCTGCCCCCCCCCCACACACACACTCACACTCACAGCATGTGGTCCACAGAGGCCACGGCGGCCACGGGGCAGATGGTCCTCGAGGTCTGCCCCCCCCCCACACACACACACTCACAGCATGTGGTCCACAGAGGCCACGGCGGCCACGGGACGGATGGTCCTCGAGGTCTGCCCCCCACACACACACACACACACTCACAGCATGTGGTCCACAGGCGCCACGGCGGCCACGGGACGGATGGTCCTCGAGGTCTGCCCCCCCCTCCCCACACACACACACTCACAGCATGTGGTCCACAGAGGCCACGGTGGCCACGGCAGCCACGGGACGGATGGTCCTCGGGGTCTGCCCCCCCCCCCCCCACACACACACACTCACAGCATGTAGGTGATGACGCCCACGCTCCACATGTCCGTGGGGAACGAGACGAACTCGTAGTTGATGACCTCGGGGGCCAGGAACTCGGGCGTGCCGAAGTTCACCCTTAGCTTCTCCCGCGGCTTGTACCTGGGGGGGGGGGGGGCGGCTCAGGGAGACGCGGAGGCTGGGGCGGGCCCAGGTGCAGCCAGGCAATGTCGGACCCCACATGCCTCCGCCCCCCACACACACAGGGTTTCCCAGGCAACCCTCACTCCCCAGCCCCAGCCTCAGGCTTTCCTGGGTCCCCAGGGAGAACCGGAAGCCATGGAGCCCCCAGCCCCCACCAGGCCTTTGTCCGCGAGAGGAGAGAAGGTGACTCAGCCGGCAGCCGGGCTGGGTGGGGCTGGGTGGGGCTGGGTGGGCTGGGTGGGGCTGGTGGGGCTGGGTGGGGCTGGGTGGGGCTGGGTGGGGCTGGTGGGGCTGGGTGGGGCTGGGTGGGGCTGGTGGGGCTGGGTGGGGCTGGGGGGGCTGGGGGGGCTGGGGGGGCTGGGTGGGGCTGGGGGGGGCTGGGGGGGCTGGGGGGGCTGGGTGGGGCTGGTGGGGCTGGTGGGGCTGGTGGGGCTGGGTGGGGCTGGGTGGGGCTGGGTGGGGTGGGTGGGGTGGGGGGGGCTGGGGGGGGCTGGGGGGGGGCTGGTGGGGCTGGTGGGGCTGGGTGGGGCTGGGTGGGGCTGGGTGGGGCTGGTGGGGCTGGGTGGGGCTGGGGGGGGCTGGGTGGGGCTGGTGGGGCTGGGGGGGGCTGGCTCCCTGCTGGCTGCGCCGTGGCTGGGCCGGTGACTGTCGTGTGGGTTCATCGTGTTGGCGTCAGGGGCTGGGGGTGGGGGAGGGCTCTGCATGTGTGGGGCAGGGGGTCTGGAAACCTGTTTCTGCCCCTCAATCTTTCTGTGATGCTAAAACTGCTCTAAAAAGTAAAGTGTCCATTTAAAAAATTAAAAATAAAAAATCGGCTGAGCTGAGGGCACCCGTGCCCAAGAGGGCCAGAAAGAGCCCAGCGGGTGCTCAGTGCCCCCACGCCCTCACCTTCTGGCCAGCCCGAAGTCAATGATCTTTATCTGGTGTCCGGTCTGCTTGACACACAGGATGTTCTCCGGCTGCAGAGAAAGGGGGTCTGCTGAGGGCAGGCACCAGCTGGAAGCTCGGCAGCTCCCTCACTTACTGTCAGGCCTCAGCCTCCCAGCCTCCCGGGGAAATGAATGGCCCAGGTCAGCCTACGGGGAAGGGAGGGAGGGAGGGAGGGAGGGGGGAAGGATGGGAGGGAGGGAGGGTGATGGGTAGGTGATGGATGGTGGATGGTGGATGGTGGATGGTGGATGAATGATGGATGGATGGATGGATGGATGGATGGATGGATAGATGATGGATTATGGATGATGGATGGATAGATCAGTGTTTCCCAACCTTCTCTCATGATGAGAATCACCTGGTGGAGTTGTTAAAACACAGATTCCCGAATCCCAACTAAGAAGTGCTAAACCAGAATTTTTGAGAACATATAGGTAAAATTGCATACCTAACTTAGTGCTCTGTATATAAAATCTGTCTTAGAGCACTAGTTAAGTATACAATTTTACCTGTATGTTCCCAAAAATTCTAGTTTAGCACTTCTTAGTTGGGATCCGGGAATCTGTGTTTTAACAACTCCACCAGGTGATTCTCATCATGAGAGAAGGTTGGGAAACACTGGGATAGATGATGGACGATACAACTAGGAGTGGCAAGAAGCCAGGGATGAAATCCAGGTGAAAGCTCTCAGAGCCGAGGGAGCAGCAGAGGCGTGGGAACCCGGGCCGCCCACCACGCCCAGGTGGAGCCTGACCTTGAGGTCCAGGTGCAGGATGTAGTGCTGGTGGAGGTAGTGCACGCCCTCGCAGATCTGCCTGGTGAACAAGATCACGTCCAGCTCCGTCAGGTGGTACTTCTCATCCGTGATGCGGTCGAAGAGTTCTCCCCCGTCCACGCTGCCAGGAAAGCGGGAGGCAGGCGCCGGGCTGAGCGAGGCTCCGGAGCCGGCCGGGGAGCCCGAGGGGGCCCTGTGCTCCGGCCCCGCCCCAGCCCCGGTGCAGCTGCAAAAGGAAGTGGCGGCCACGGGGAGCGGGTTTCCTCCGTGCGGACACTCAGGCTCACATAGCGGGGACCATTACCGATGCCACAGGCCAGGGCCATGAACTCATCTGCCTACAGGGGCGCACGAGTGCCTCCAGGCGAGAACCCCAAACGGACAAACCAGCCCCCTTTCCGGCTGGGGGGACAGGCCCAGCGGCACTGGGTCTGCAAGAACAGCCGGAGCCCTGGCCAGGGCGCTGTCCCCTGCACCAAAGGCCGCCGGTTCGATTCCCGGTGAGGGCACGTGCTCGGGTTGCGGGCTCCATCCCCAGTGAGGAGTGTGCAGGAGGCAGCCCATCGATGTCTCTCACGCCCATGTTTCTTTCCCTTCCCTCTCTTTTCCTCCCTCTCTCTCCAAAGTCAATTTATTTTATTTTACATTTTATTGATTTTTTTACAGAGAGGAAGAGAGAGGGAATAGTTAGAAACATCGATCAGCTGCCTCCTGCACACCCCCTACTGGGGATGTGCCCACAACCCAGGCACATGTCCTTGATAGGAATCGAACCTGGGCCCTCTCAGTCCACAGACTGTCACTCTATCCACTGAGCCACACCAGCTAGAGCCCAAAATCAATTTTTAAAAGAAAAGCAGTATGCCTAGGTTTTAGTGTGAAACGTCCCAATTTCCAGCCGCTACCAACCAAACCCACATTCCTAACACCCGCCCAGCCACACTGCAGGTGGGGTCAGACTGGAGGCCGGGCAGAGGAGGTGACGGCGTGTCCGGGGTCCCAGGCCGGGGGCAGGGGTGGAGGGACGGGCGCAGTGCTGCCCAGCCGCCCTGCTCCAGCCCGGGGCCGCACACTCACCACTCCATGACCAGCGTGCAGCTGTGCCTGCCCTCGAAGGCGTCGTACAGCTGGATCAGGTTCGTGTGGCTCAGCTGGTTCATGATGGCCACCTCGTTCTTCACGTCCTCCTTGCCGAGCGGAGGGGGGGGGTCCCCAAAACATGTCAGGGGGCGGGGCCCACGGCACCTCCCGGGGCGCACACACGGGCACACGAGTGCCCACCCCCCCCCCCGTTTCCTGCCCTCACAGCAGGCCGCCTCCCCGCACCACCCAGTGGGTGCTCAGAGGGGGCCTGTCAGCCCCCCATCTCAGACGGGGCGCCCGGAGCCCGGGAGGAAGCCAGACGCCCGGGGGGGCCCCGCCGCCCAGGGTGCAGGGGAGCCCTGGCTGGGGTGCAGGGGGCACGGAAAAGAGGCGGCCCAGCCACAGGGCGCGGGAGTGAGCGGCAGCCTTGAGCCAGGTCACCGTTCCACTCCGGTCAGGGCCCAGGCCCGGTGCGGGCTCCATCCCTGTGTGGGGGCGTGCAGGAGGCAGCCGGCCCAGGATTCTCTCTCCTCACGGATGTTCCTGTCTCCCTCTCCCTCCCTCTCTGACATCAGTAAGCGTATATTGGGGGCCGGGGTGAGGGGGGAAGGAGCGGGAAGGCGAGGTCCCCCACTCAGCAGGCGGGAGCTGGGTGGCCGGGCCCCGGGCTGAGCCCTGAGCCGGGGCCGGAGCCGCCCGGCGGGCAGGCGGGCGGGCGGGCTCTCACCCGATCCTTGCTGCTCTTCACTTTGATGACCTTGGCTGCCAGCGCCAGGCCCGTGGCCCGCTCCGTGCACCGGTGGACCTGGCCAAACCGGCCCCTGTGGACCACACAGGGCTGAGCGCCCGGAGGCTCACCCCTCACCACCGGAGGTCCCCCTGTCCGGTCCCACCCCCTCCACACCCAGGGGACCCGTGGGTGTCATCCCACCCACTGCACACTGCCCTCTAAACCTAGACCAGAACTGCTCCTCCCTGCACCCCAGGGAGCACTCTCCCCTCCCCACCGCCGAGGACTTCCTCCCCCCCAACCCCAACCCCCCATGCGGCCCTCCCACTGCCTCCAACACGGCCCCTCTCCGCCCCGGGGACCTCCCGCTCCCCGCCCGCCATCAGCCGGAGCACCTACCCGCCCAGCACCTCATGCTGGCACACCGCGTAGCCCGCTGCGGCCGCCGCCTCGCGCAGGCTCACCACCCGGTGCCCGAACGGGGCCGGCGGGGCCGGGCTGTCGTCTGTGCAGGAGACAGCGGCCTGTGAGCCCCTGGGCCCTCCTCACGCTGCACACCCACCCGCCCCGGACCCCAGCGGGCAGCTCCCCCGGCCCCCCCAGGCTCCCCCGGCCCCACAAGACCCCCTGGGCCCCAGCGGGCAGCACCCCGGCCCCCCAGGCTCCCCCGGCCCCACAAGACCCCCCGGGCCCCAGCGGGCAGCACCCCGGCCCCCCAGGCTTCCCCGGCCCCACAAGACCCCCCGGGCCCCAGCGGGCAGCACCCCGGCCCCCCAGGCTCCCCCGGCCCCACAAGACCCCCCGGACCCCAGCGGGCAGCTCCCCAGCCTTGCGAGACCCCTTGGACAGACAGGGGGCCGGAGGGGGGATCCACACCCGCCCCCGGGGCACCGCCCGCTTACCCAGAACGAGGCCGCGGGCCACAGCTCCCTGGGGCGCCCCCGCCACGGCTGCACCCGGGCCCCCGGGGGTGCCGTCCCCCCCGGGCTCCGGGCCGCCGGCTCCCGCGCCCGTGTCCGCCCCCGAGCCCCCGCCGGCCCCGCTCAGTCCCGGGGCGGCTCCGGCTGCGGGTCCCGGCGAGCCCTCGGCCTCTGCTGCGCCGTGGCTGCTCCGAGCGGCGCCGTGTCCCCCCGGCTCGGTCCCTGGGGCCTGGGGCCGGCCCCCGTGCGCAGGCAGGGCCGGCTCCCCAGGCTGGGTAGTGGCCGGGGCCTCCACGGGGGACGCCACACGGGGGCTGACCCCTGGCACGCCCCGCAGCTCCCCCGGCGTGTCCGCCTCCTGCACGTCCGTCTCCTGCACGTGGACGGAGAGCCTGGGGGGGGAGACAGCCCGAGGAAGCCACCGTCACTGCCCCGTGGCCACCCCGCCGGGGCCAGGGCACCCAGGGGCGCTGCCCGGCAGCTGCTCTGCCCGAGCCTCACAGAGCGGCCCTGCCAGCCGGCCCCACGCCGAGGCCTCGCGCACCCCCCGCACCCCCCGCGCCCGCGCCAGCGGCTCGCTCACCTGCCAGGCGTGTCCTCGCCGCCGGGAGCTGCGGTGGCCCCGGCAGGCGGGCCCGAGGCCAGCGTCACACCGTCCTCCGCGCGCAGAGCGTCAGGACCGCTGGCCGCTGGCCCTGGTGCTGGGCCTGGTGCCACCTCCCGGCTGGGCTCGGGGGCCTCACCAGGCGCCCCGGGAGCTGTGGCTTCCGCCTCTGCGGGCGGCAGGTGTCCAGGTGCCTGGTCGGGGCCGGGGACCCCGCCTCCCGGCTCCGGCGGGGCCTCCGGCGGGGCCTCCGGCGGGGCCTCCGGCGGGGCCTCCAGCTGGGCCTCCGGCGGGGCCTCCGGCGGGGCCTCCTGCTGGGCCTCTGGCGGGGCCGGGACCTCAGACCCCATCCCTGACACGCAGACCGGGGGCGGCCTCGCCGCTGTGCCCTCCGGCGGGCCAGCCTTCTGGCTCTCTGCAGGGAAACGGGCGGAGTCTGTGCCCAGCAAGACAGGGACCTGCCTGCGCAGCTGCGGGGGGCGAGGCGGGACCCTCTGGAGCGCTGGGTGTACAGTGTGACTGTTCCATCTAAGATGTGTGTGTGCATGTGTGCGTGTGCATGTGTGCGAACATGTGTGTGTGCATGTGCATGTGTGTGCGTGGTGTCACCGCTTACAGTGTGGCCTTAGAAACCAGACTCCGGGGGAAATAAAAATAAAAGCTTCGTAGACACGGTGACATGGGGGGAAGGAGGAGGACAAGCCTGGCTGCTTCTTGTGCCTCGTTTGGTCACCGGGGCTTTGGGGCCGGGTAAATATTAGGCGGAGACAGCCCGTCAGAGCTCACTCAGCCCTCCGCACCCCTCCGCACCCCCACTCTCACCCCTCCGCACCCCCCGCTCTCACCCCTCCGCACCCCCCGCTCTCACCCCTCCGCACCCCGCACTCACCCCTCCGCACCCCCCGCACTCAACCCTCTGCACCCCCCGCTCTCACCCCTCCGCACCCCGCACTCACCCCTCCGCACCCCCCACACTCAACCCTCCGCACCCCCCGCTCTCACCGCCCCGCACCCCCCCGCTCTCACCGCCCCGAACCCCGCTCTCACCCCTCCGCACCCCCCGCTCTCACCCCTCCGCACCCCCCGCTCTCACCGCCCCGCACCCCCCGCTCTCACCCCTCCGCACCCCCCGCTCTCACCCCTCCGCACCCCCCGCTCTCACCGCCCCGCACCCCCCGCTCTCACCCCTCCGCACCCCCCGCTCTCACCCCTCCGCACCCCCCGCTCTCACCGCCCCGAACCCCGCTCTCACCCCTCCGCACCCGCTCTCACCGCCCCGAACCCCGTTCTCACCCCTCCGCACCCCCCGCACTCACCCCTCCGCACCCGCACTCACCGCCCCGCGGCCCCGGGCGCTCGGCCTGCACGCCCCGGCCGCTCAGCGCCCGCCGTGGCTGGGCTCCCGCCGCCTCCTCTCGCTCTTCGTCCTGAAAGAAGCACACGGACACACCATTGTCACCGTCGCTCCGCACAGACACGCTCGCACCGGCCACGTGCTGGGCCACCAGCGGGCAGAGCACCTCCAGGCGTCCTCAGTGCCTCCTAAACACGTTTACTGTTACTGACCTCGGAGAGGGAGAGAGAGACAGAAACATCTGTGACCAGCTGCCTCCGCACGCCCCCCACAGGGGGTCCAGCTTGCAATCCGGGCCTGTGCTCCGACCAAGAATGGAACCCTGACGCCTGGGTCATAGGTCAACACCCACTGAGCCACCCGGCTGGGTCCTAGGTGCCCTTCTTCCTCCTCTTTTTTTAAAAATATATTTTACTGATTTTTTACAGAGAGGAAGAGAGAGAAAGAGGGACAGAGAGCTAGAAACATCAATGAGAGAGATACATCAACCAGCTGCCGGGGATGTGCCTGCAACCAATGTACATGCCCTTGACCGGAATCGAACCCGGGACCGTCAGTCCACAGACCGACGCTCTACCACTGAGCCACACCGGCTTCGGCCAGGTACCCTTCTTCATGAGCCCCTGACAGAGGGTGACACAGAGTGGGCCTCGAAATGCTCAGAGCAGGGATGGAAAATTAGTTTAAATTCAACTGTCAACTCGGACCGGCCGCTTGGGGCGAATGGTGTGGTTTGGGTTGGATCCTAGGTCAGCTGACCCCGTGCTCGCAGGCAGCGTGCGGTGACCAGTGACGCGCTGCCTGGGAGCCGGGCGGCTGGACCCCACGGCCCCCCTCCGGTTCCCCAGGCGGCCAGGGCACCCCTTCACCACTCGGCCGAGATCCCTAACTCCCCTGCACCTCGCTTTCCCCTCTGGAGAATGGGGGGAATGTCAGCTTCTCACAGGGCTCAGTCCGGGGCGCTGGGGTGGGGCCGTCTGTGGGGCACTGGGAGGTGCCCAGCACAGGGTGGGCGCTCAGAGCCGGTGCTGGTGCCCGGCCTGGGACACAGCACCGTCCGGGCCCAGGGCGGGGCCGTGAGGACCTGGGAGCCCAGCGCCAGCCAGTGAGCGTCCCTCACGCTGAGCATCCGCAGGAGCCCCCGCAGTGTGGTCCGCAATCCGTTAAAGATGAGCCTGCCCGGGCTGGCTCAGCATCGACCTAGGACCCAGGAGGTCAGGGTTCGATGCCCGGTCAGGGCACAGGCCCGGGTTGCGGGCTCGGTCCCCAGGGTGGGGTGTGCAGGAGGTGGCCGATCCATGATTCTCTCATCATTGATGTTTCTCCCTCCCTCCCTCTCCCTTCCTCTCTGACATTGATTTTAAAACTCTGGCTGCTGCCGAGACCGGTTTGGCTCAGTGGATAGAGTGTCAGCCTGCAGACTGAAGGGTCCCGGGTTCAATTCCGGTCAAGGGCATGGACCTTGGTTGCAGGCACATCCCCAGCAGGGGGTGTGCAAGAGGCAGCTGATCGATGATTCTCTCTCATCGATGTTTGGTTTTTTTTTTTTTAATATATTTTATTGATTTTGTACAGAGAGGAAGGGAGAGAGATAGAGAGCTAGAAACATCGATGAGAGAGAGTCATCGATCAGCCACCTCTTACACACCCCCTACTGGGGACATGCCTGCAACCAAGGTACATGCCCTTGACTGGAATCGAACCCGGGACCTTTCAGTCCCCAAGCCGACGCTCTATCCATTGAGCCAAACCGGTCTCGGCTCTCATCGATGTTTCTAACTCTCTATCCCTCTCTCTTCCTCTCTATAAAAAAAAAATCAATAAAATATATTAAACAAACAAACAAACAAACAAACAAAACCTCTGGCTGCTGTCCTCAGGGTCACCACCGGCACCAGCGCTGTGACGGGAGCCGTCCTGCCAGCCGCCCTGGGGAGCTGGGGCCTTATCGCAGGCGCCTCCTGCCCCCTCTCCCCCCCCCCCGTTTACCCCCCACCCCCACCTTTCCGTCCGGGAGACAGGGACTTGGACAGACTGTCCTTTGGCAGACCTTGCTGCTCAGATTGTTCTCTCTCCCTCTGTGGTTGGTGCAGGCAGGCGCACATGCACACACACACACACACACATGCACACATATGCACACACACACTCGCGCGTGCACACGCACAGGCACACGTAGGCTTTGTCTTCAGCGCTCAGCTTTCTTTCTTTCTTTCTTTTTTATTGATTTTTCTTACAGAGAGGAAGGAAGAGAGAGATAGAGAGCTAGAAATGTCGATGAGAGAGAAACATCGACCAGCTGCCTCTTGCACACCCCTTACCGGGGATGTACCCGCAACCAATGTACGTGCCCTTGACCGGAATCGAACCTGGGACCTTTCAGTCTGCAGACCGACGCTCTATCCTCTGAGCCACACCAGTTTCGGCTGGCGCTCAGCTTTCGGTCCCGCCTGTGCGGTGCATGCAAAGGAAGGAGAAGAGGCCGGCCCAGCGCCCGCCCGAGGCCTGCATCGCTGACAGCTCCGCCAGGATGAGGCCGGCCCGCCGAGCTGGACCTGCCTGAGCACCCCCTCCACCCCGCATCCCACAGCCCCACCCCCGACCCCCCCCCCCCGAATCCCACACCTCCGACCCCACGGTGCATCCCACACGGCCCAAGGAGGACTCGGGTGGAGTCAGGGCCGAGTTTAAAATTTAACAGCCAGCCCGGCCGGCGTGGCAGTGTGTCCGCGGGCCAGGCCGGCTCCCAGCGGCTCTCAGCGGCTGCCCCTGTGCTGTTCCGCCTGCGTGACCGGCCGGGCCGGGGGCACGGAGGGCGTGGAGGCCTCCTGGCGGGGCCGTGGGGAGCTGACTGCCGGCTGGGAGGGCACCCAGTCCTCAGGCAGCCCCTGGGCTGTGTGGCCGACAGAGGATGGCCAGTCAGAGCCGAGCAGAGGAGACTTGGGAGGCCCTGGGGAAGAGAAAGCTCCCTCCCCCCGCTCCTCCCCCCGGCACCCCCCTCCGCCCAGAAATGCCGCCCAGGACGGCTGGCTTCGCGGCCCCCCAGCCCGCTCCGACACAACAGCCAGAGGAGGAAGCGAAGGGGAGGACGGAGCGGCCGCCCGCCCGCGGGACAGCGCACACGGCCCTGGACCCAGAGGATGCGCAGCTCCTGGAGCTGCAGGCGAGGACCGCAGTGGGTACAGGCCTCCGTCCGGTGGTTCGCCCTGTTCCCGGGGGGCTCCCGTTTCTGTGTGAATGAAAGGGAAAAGGCTGCTCATGGAGCACAGGACTGATCGCCTTATTGGGAGCCTGGCCCCCACCGGAAGGAGAAGGAGCCGGCGGCTGGGCTGTGAGGAGGAGGCAGGGGAGGAGGTGCGGATGAGCGGGCACAGCAGCCTCGGGGGCAGAGGACCGCCCGGGGAGCAGACTCCGCACCGCTGCCAGGACAGCGTGGCCGAGCGAACATGCCGATACACGGAGACCCCACCCCCACCTCCGGCGCAGCCGCTGCAGCTTCACGGACAGAGCGAGGGTGCTCCCTGGTGCGGAGACGCGCCCACATCCATGACGCAGAGAGCAGCAGAGGCCAGCACAGGAGGTGACAGCGGAGCTAAACCAAACCTCGGGCTGGGGGCACCCCAGGGTGCTTCTGGAAGGATGCAGGAGACCGGGCTAGGCTCAGGGTTAGGAAGCAGGGCTTGTCCTGGGCCTGGGGGCGGGGCAGGAGGGGGCTGCTCTCACAGCCGGGGCATGGTTTGCACCCTGCTCACATATTAGGTGAATTCTCGCTTAAAGCTGAGGCTGGTGCCCGGCCGGCCTGGCTCAGGGGCTGAGAGCATCGACCTAGGAACTAGGAGGTCACAGTTTGATTCCCACTCAGGGCACAGGCCCACGGAGTGGGGCGAGAAGGGGGCAGCCGACCCATGATTCTTACCGTTGATAGCTCTTTCTCCCTCTCCCTTCCTCTCTGAAATCAATACAACATAATGTAAAATAAACTAAATAAAATAAAGCTGAGGGTGGCTCTCAGCGGCGAGGGCAGGCCAGACGCCCCTGCAGGCCGCGCTCGTGGGCCGGTGCCCACAGGAGGGGCCGGGGTGAGGCGGCGCTGGGGGAGTGGCCGGCGGGGTGAGGGAGGGTCAGCGGGGACAGCGCCGGCCAGGCTGGGGGCGAGGAAGGGAGGCCGGAGCCCCTGAGAGCCCAGCTCAGCTGTAGCAGAGCCGGTGGGTACCAGCAGGTCCGAGGCGGCTCAGGCCCCGAGTGTCCCTAAGCAGCTGCCCCTGTGCCGTACCTAACAGAGCATTGCCTGGACACACCGCACATGGGCACACGTGTGCGTGCACACACACCCAAACACACATGTGCACGCACATGCGCGGACACGTACATACACAAACATGTGTGCACACACATGCACACACTCAAGCACACGCACACCCCCCAGCCAAACTCCCATAAGCCCAGGCTCGATTGCACAACCCCGGAGCAGCCGCCCTGCACCCCAGCTGCGCTGCGGCCCGCCCGCCCGGCTGGGTGCCCGGGTCCCTGTCAGCACCTCGGAGGCAGCTGCACTCGCGCCCACTCGGGGACGGGGCACAAGGTCGCGCACAGGAAGGGAGGGGGCTGGTTCTGGATGGTGCCCTGTCTGGGGGGCGGGCTGCTCCCCACGCCGCCCCCGGGGGACACGGCCTGTCCAGCGAGCGTCCCCACGGCCCCCAGCTCACCGGCTCTGCCTCGCTCTCCCGTCTGCACCCGCCCATGACTGTACGCTGCAGCTCCCCATTTCCCCATCAACTGGTCACACAGGAGGCACAAGGGGGACTAGACGCTGGCCGGGGTGGCTCAGGGGTGAGCGTCAGCCTAGGAGCCAGGAGGTCAGGGTTTGATTCCCGGTCAGGGCACAGGCCCAGGTTTTGGGCTCCGTCCCCAGTGTGCGGGGCGTGCAGGAGGCAGCTGGTCCATGGCTCTCTCTCATCATTGATGTGTCTCTCTCCCTCTCCCTCTCCCTTCCTCTCTGAAATCAATAAAATAGATTTTAGCCGAAACCGGTGTGGCTCAGTGGGTAGAGCGTCGGCCTGTGGACTGAAGGGTCTAGGGTTTGATTCCGGTCAAGGGCATGTACCGTGGTTGCGGGCACATCCCCAGTGGGGGGCGTGCAAGAGGCAGCTGATGGATGTTTCTCTCTCATCAATGTTTCTGACTCTCTATCCCTCTCCCTTCCTCTCTGTAAAAAAAACAATAAAATATATTTTAAAAAAACACAAATAATATTTTAAAATAATAAGAAGGGACAAAGGCTCGGCTCTCTACGCGCAGCCCCCTGGCCGAACTCCCCACTGCCCGGGCGGCCCCCCAGCAGGGCCGGGCGGGGGACGCGTCACCCACCTCGGGGGACCCGGGGGCCGGGCGGCCTCGCCTCCAGGGCGCACTGCCTCGCAGGACGAAGTCCAGCACCACGGAGTTCTGGAACAGGGCGCCCAGCAGGGCGATGGCCCGGTCCACGGCCGCCACCACCCGGAGCAGGGCCTCCAGCCGGGCGCCATGCCGGGCCACATCCTGCCGCACCGCCCGCACCAGGCCCAGGACCTCCGGCCAGCCGGCCTGCGCGTCCCCCCTCGGGGCCGGCTCCCCCGAAGGGGCAGGGTCCCCCTGGGGGGCAGGGTCCCCCTGGGGGGCAGAGTCCCCCTGGGAGACAGAGTCCCCCTGGGGGGCAGGGTCCCCCCGAGGGGCCGGCTCCCCTGGCAGGGTGGGCTCCCCGGGGGGGGCAGGGTCCCCCCGAGGGGCCGGCTCCCCTGGCAGGGTGGGCTCCCCGGGGGGGGCAGGGTCCCCCCGAGGGGCCGGCTCCCCTGGCAGGGCTGGCTCCCCCTGGGGGGCAGGGTCCCCCAGCGGGGCAGGCTCCTCGGGCGGGGTGGGGCCGGCCCCCGGGGGGCCCGGGCCCCGGGAGGCCTCCAGCCGGCTCAGGCCCCGCTCCAGGTGGTCCAGGCCCCGGCACACGCCCTGCAGCTTGTCCGCCACGTCCTCCTGGGCGCGCAGCAGTGTGTCCACCTTCTCGTCCAGCGCGCTCAGCTTCCGGTCCAGGCTGGACAGGCAGGCCCTGCCCGCTGCAGCCGCCGCCGGCAGCCCCCGGGGCCCCGCTCCCTCCTGGGAGGCCCTGGACATCCCAGCGCGGGCCGGCCGGGCGGGCGGGGGCGCGCGGGGCCCGGCCTCAGCGGGGCCGCGGAGCCCGGAGGGTCATGTCGGCCGCTCCGCGTGCCCAGCGCCCGCACGGCGATCGATCCGGGCGTCCGCAGCGCGACCTGTGGGCTCTGAGGCCTCGCTAACGGCCGCTCTGCGGGAGGGCGGGAGGGCGCCTCTGCGGGGCCTCTGACATCACGGAGCTGGCGCATTCCGGCCTGAGAGGGTGCTGACGGGCAGACATGTGAGGAATCTGCCCTGGCAGCGGGCGCGGGGCTGAAGCCGGAGGCTGGAGGGGGGTTCTCTCCCCGGACTCCGAGAGGAGCGGGGCCTCGGGAGTCCCCGGCCGTGGGGTGCCGCCCGCCACACACACACACACACACACACACACACAGACACAGACACACACACACAGGTGTGCACGCGCACACACACGCACACACGCACACACAGGTGTGCACACACACACGCACATACACAGACGCACACACATACACACGCAGACACAGACACACACAGACACACAGAGACGCGTGTGCGTGCGCACACACAGGCGCGCGCACACGCGCACACACAGACACACACAGACACACACACAGTCGCACACAGACAGACACACACACAGAGACACACGCACAGAGACGCACACAGACACACAGACACACACAGAGACGCGCACACAGACACACAGAGAGGCGCACGCACGTGCACATACACACACACACACACACACACACACGCTCACGCACACAGACGCACAATGAAAAGCGAGGCCGTGGAAAATGCCTGGCCGCCCTGGCGTGAGCCGGATGGAACAGGTGAAGCTTCCCCAAATCAAACACAAACCCTGGCCCCGGCCGGCAGCTCAGCAGGTGAGAGCGTTGTCCCCGATACGCCCAGCTGCGGGTTCGACCCTGGGGGAGGGCACACACAAGAATCAACCAATGCCCGGCCGGGTGGCTCAGGGGTTGAGCATTGACCGAGGAACCAGGAGGTCAGGGTTCGATTCCCAGTCAGATGGGCCCAGGTTGCCGGCTCCATCCACAGTGGGGATGGTATAGGAGGCAGCCCGGTCTATGATTCTCTCATCATTGATGTTTCTATCTCTCCCTCCCTCTCCCTTCCTCTCTGAAATCAATTTTTTTAAATTAAAATATATTTTATTGATTTTTTTACAGAGAGGAAGGGAGAGATATAGAGAGATAGAAACATCGATGAGAGAGAAACATCGACCAGCTGCCTCTTGCACACCCCCTACTGGGGATGTGCCCGCAACTCATGTACATGCCCTTGACCGGAATCAAACCTGGGACCTTCCAGTCCGCAGACCGACGCTCTACCACTGAGCCAAACCGGTTTCGGCTGAAATCAAATATTTTATTATAAAAATAATAAAATAAAATAAAGAATCAGCCAATGAGAGCACCGATAAATGGAATAACAAATGGGTGTTCCCCTCTCCCTTCCTTTCTCTCCCCCAAATAAAAAGTTGACCAATTACAGAAACCTGGGTGCTCGCTGCTGCTCTGCAGACGACCCCAGGGTGTCAGGCTGCGGGTGAGCCCCACAGCAGGCCCCCGTCACTCGGCACTTGTAGCTAAAAATAGAAGTGCAGCTCAATGGCCCGCCCATCCTCGCCAAGAGCGCCCTGCAGGCCGTGCTCCTCCCCGGACCCTCTGGGGCACATCTGCCCGCGAGGCCTGCGCCCCACAGCGGCTCCCCTGGAACCGACGGGTCAGGCCCGGGTGGCCCAGAGCCCGGCTCCCGTGGCCTCGCGCGTCTGGGCCTCACAGCCCTGTTCCCCGTGAACTTGGCCGGAGCGGCATTGGTAAAGCCGGCGGACATCAGGTGGGGGCGCCGAGAGTGCCACCGAGTCCCCAGCCCCTGGGGGCCCCTTGTGGCCCCCTGCCTTCTCCGTTTCCTTCCGGGCCCCCAGGCTCTCGGCCGCCCCAGGAGGGCTCAGATGGGGTCCCGGGTGAGCACGGGGCAGCCGATCCACTCCCGAAAAGCACAGGCTGGCCGCGGTATGCTGTGGGCGGGGTCAGCACCCACGGGCCCCCGAGACTCCACGCTGGCCTGTCTGGGGACAGCCAGCTTTCCCTGAGGCCTGGCCCAGGAGACATCCACCTCGGTCCGAGCTGCAGCCTGAGGAGGGAGAGCCCGCAAAGCGAGGCCTCGGGGAGAACCGGTCCAGGTGGCACGGATCACAGACACGCCGGACAACGGGGAGGCGCCCGGCGCCACGCGGGCCAGCCCACGCCTGCCCCGGCCGGTGCCCCTGCTGGTGCGGGGGCGGGGGACGGCCCGTGCTGTCTGCCTGGCCTCAGAGCCCGCTGCCCGCTGCGGCCGGAGACTGACGGCACTCGGCTGCGCGGCCGTGGCCGTGGCCGTGGCCGTGGCCGTGGCCGGTTCCATGAGGAGGGTGACGGGGACGGGACGTACGTGCCGCAGAGCGAGTGCTCAGACCCAGAGGGAGCGCAGGCCAACGGGCAAAGCGGAGCAAAAGGAACCAGAGACTCCAAGAAACCCCAGCGCGTCCGAGACAGAGTGAGCGCGGAACACATGCCTTTCCCACGGCGCCATGCACACGGCGCCATGCACACGGCGACATGCACACGGCGACGTGCACACGGTGACATGCACATGGCAACGTGCACACGGTGCCATGCCCACAGTGCTATGCACACGGTGACGTGCACACGGCGACGTGCACACGGCGACAGGCACACGGTGCCATGCACACGGTGCCATGCACACGGCGACATGCACACGGCGACGTGCACACGGTGACATGCACACGGTGACATGCACATGGCAACGTGCACACGGTGCCATGCCCACAGTGCTATGCACACGGTGACGTGCACACGGCGACGTGCACACGGTGACATGCACACGGCGACATGCACACGGCGACGTGCACACGGCGACGTGCACACGGTGCCATGCACACGGCGACATGCACACGGCGACGTGCACACGGTGACATGCACACGGTGACATGCACACGGCGACGTGCACACGGCGACGTGCACACGGTGACATGCACACGGCGACATGCACACGGCACCATGCACACGGTGACATACATGCACACGGTGACATGCACACGGCGACGTGCACACGGTGCCATGCACACGGTGACATACATGCACACGGTGACATGCACATGGTGACAGTACGAAGGTAACCGTCATCCCTGGCCAGTGTGGCTCAGGGGACAGCGCGCCGGCCTACAGACAGAAGGGTCCCAGGTTTGATTCCCGGTCAGGGCACATGTCCGGGTTGTGGGCTCCATCCCCAGTGTGGGGCGTGCAGGAGGCAGCAATCTGTCTCTCTTCCTCTCCCTCCCTCTAAAATCAATAAAAATATCAAAAAAAGAAAGAAAAGAAAGCAACTGTAGAGATCAAAACTGGCCATGCCCACCCACCCTACCCCACCCCAGAGGAGAGCCAGCCGACAGATGTGTCAGTCACCTCGGTGTGAGTTGGGGCAGGAGGGAGAGGGCCACCCCGCTGGCCCTAGGCTTCCTCTGCTGCCCAGGCCCTGGCCCAGGCCACCCTCCCGCCGGCGCCGTTAGCTGAGGCACACACGAACGAAGAGGACCCCAGCGGTGACCAGAGCCCAGCCAGCCCCGCAGGGTCCACACCAAACACCATGGGCAGCTCCACCGGCCTGGCCTGCACACACCTCCTTCAGGAGCCGGGAAGGGCCCACGCCGACAGACCCCACAACCCGCCTGGCCCCCTGAGTCCGTGGTCCCGAGGCCGCAGGTCAGGGGCCAGCTGTCCGGCTCCCTAGCTCCCTGGCCATGACAGCTGCTCAGGGCTCCCACTTCAAAGCAGGCCAGAGGCTGCCTTACCGCAAAGATCCGGGTGTAACCCGGTGCCCGTGGTGGAGGCGGGCGCAGCGTCCTCATCCTGCCGCCCACCGGGGACTCTGCCAGCTCCGTGTTTACTCCCCTGGAGATGCCCGGGTGGGAGTGAGGGGCTGGCCGGCAGGGCCATCTCTCCAGAACTCAGGAGCTTCGATAAGCCTGGCATTTCCGCTTATCTGCCCTGGCCCCGGCCCCGAGGCGCCCGGGCGTCACTGTTATCAGCTCTGCTGGCTGTCCCTCTCCGAGGGCCCACTTCCTGCATCACTTAGCGGGGTGTCCAGGGAAACAACCCCCCTGGTCCCAGGAGGGGAGAGGGGATGGGGGGAGAATAGAAGAGGGGAGGAGGGGAGGGAGGGAGGAGGGGGAGCTTGAGGGCCCAGCGGACCTGAGTTCAGACCCCAGAGCCTGGTGCGGGGCCCAGGGCTGCGCTGGGATCTGGGGGTGGCTGCTGCAGTGGACCTGGGGCAGCGGGGGCCTGACCAGCCACACAGGGGGGCGCAGAGGGAGGAAGCTCTTCCTCATGGTGCTGCTTGCACCCAGCTGGGGGCCTAGTCTCAGGAATTTTTTAAAATATTTTTTTATTGATTTCCGAGAGGAAGGAAGAAGGAGAGAGAGAGAAACACCCATGAGGAGAGAGAACTATGGACCCGCTGCCTCCCGCGCCCTCTCTCAGGGATGGAGCCCACAGCCCGGGCCTGCGCCCTGACCGGGAGTGGGACTGGACCTCCTGGTTCATGGGTTGATGCTCAGCCCCTGAGCCGGGCCGGCCAGACAAGAGGTCTTGCTGTCACATCTGAAGAACGGATGGTGGACCCGGTCCGGGAGAGGAGGGGCTGAGCTGAGAGGTGAAGAGTCAGGAGGGGGAAGGGGGTAGACAGGGGGAGCAGGTGCGAGAGCGAGGAGAGGACGGGTGGGCAGCCCTGGGCGGGACAGACTGGCCCCTGGGAGTGGCGGGGGGGCGGCATCGAGCCGGGGCGTCCAGGGCTCCCACACTTTGCAGACACCCAGGCCCACGCTGCCAGCTCCTTCCGGGTGTGGGTGGAGGTGAAGACATTGGAGAACCTTTTGGCAAAGAGGGAGGACTGCCTGGAGGAAGTGGGACTTGGGCTGAGCCTGCAGGGAGGGGTGTGCTGTGG